ATTTCTTTTTTTTAGGGCTTGAAATCTTAATCTTTTTTCACAACCAAAATGTCAAGGTTGAGACAATCGATTTGAAAGTGTTGTTTGACATTAAAACTGAAATTTTCCTTGAGTTTTGAGGTGAGGCTGAGGTTTTACTTATTTTGATAGGGCTGCAGCCCTTCCTGACCATTTTCCACCAGGTTAGTGGGCGAAACAAATCAACCTACAAAATAAGAATAGAGAGAGAGCGAGAGAGAGAGAGAGAGAGATCTACTAAATATCTGATGACAAACTACAATTTCATACATTTTGATATCTGATGACAAAGTACAATTTCATACAATTTAAAAGCAAAAAGCTTTTGAGATCATTAAATTACAGTGGAAATGGCAAATTAGAGGGGCAGAAAACGAACGCAATCACGTCGTCCTTTTGAAGATAGAATGTGGACTTCCTCCCTCTTGTCTATCAAGCTCTTCCATCCTAGCAAGGCTCGTTTTCATCCTCTTCAAAATGGCGGGCAATGCTGATGCATTTGCAGAAATCCTAGATTTAAGCAGCTTTATTTTCTCTGAAGTTTCGGGATCTTCATCTACTGTCATGGGCCTTTCTGTTGATTCAGTGGGTTCTTCTGCTTCTAAAATTCAATGAAACAATGTGGCTCGTGTAAAAAGAATGTCTAAAAGGCCAAAAAAAAACATAGAAAAATGAAATGTTGCTTGAATGGGGTTCACACTTTTACAGCAATGAGGCAGAGGAAGTATATTAACTACGACATACCAACAAGACAGTTTAAAAGCCAAACAAGATTGTTTTGGGAGCTGACTTACGTCCACCAATCGAGTTGATCGGTAGGATAGCTGGGTTTTTCAAATATCATAATAAGCTGGAGAAAAACAAGATTGGGGTAGTATTCAATCATGGATGGTCAGGACAGCTAAACCACTCTTTACACACGAACAAAAAATAATGGAACAATATATTTGCTGAAATACTCTGGCAAAAGTTTTCATCTATAACACAAGGTGGGTAGGTGAGTCCAATTGACTCCCAAGTTTTTCCAAGTACAAATTGAGTTTTTAATACTGAGAGCATGACAAACACACGTTAACTAGAGAGTAAATCAATAAGTGGAAACAGAAACAGTCTATGAGCAGGTCCACGAGGCATAGAACTTACTCATGAAAATGAGATCATACTGATTAACCACATTTCACTAACAGTTACTAACAACCAATGTGACCCTATACTCTATAGACTACCTTACATTATACACTTCCTCCGAACACACTACACACGCACTGCACATTACCTCTTGACAGTGCCTCAAAACACTGAAATTTATTTGCTAATGGAACAATCTTCTACCGAATAAAATGGCAATCAACCTCAATGTTCAACATTGAAGAATGGGAATGTTAACCCTAATCCCATAAGCAACTGTTGTGATGCTGACACAGTAATCAGGTTCAGTGTCTACTGAGCATCTTAGAGAAATCATTAATGAACATAAAACCTAGAAGCCAAGTACTACCATGATAAGATGAAATGATTGATGAACATACAAACATTGACGGTGAGACCATGTCAGCATCATTCTTTTGAATACACGGTCTACTGAATCATCTCCATTTATAGAACTATCAACAAAGTAAAAATATCCCATTTAAAGTATATGAAACAACCTTAGGGACCACTAGCGCTATATTAGATCTAATGGGCTGCTTTATCCCAAATTACAGTTTAAACACTAAAATCATACATCCCCTCACAGTCCATATCAATTATATCAAAAAGCTAATAACTCATCATCATCATCATAGCCTTTTCCCAACTAATTGGGGGGCTACACGAATCCTGGCTTGCCACTAATAACTAAAGAACTTTAAATTGCACTTTATTCAGCACCTTTGAATCTTCCATTAGTTAAGTTCTCGAAATGATGATCATCCTGATTTGGCTCAGAGATCAACCCAATCACCCCAGTCCACCAATCAACATATATTGAAGCAATTAAACAATAAATAGCACATAATTCCCTTCTTTCTCACATAATTCTTTGTGAAATAAGAAAAATAAGACTTACAAGCCCTCCCTCAATGGGTATGGCCCTCGAGGCAAATTGTATCAAGCACCTTTCTCAATCCATTAAAAAGAAAATCTCACAAATACCCATGTAGCCTATTGTAACAATCACAACTTATGCAAATCAAGTAACATAACAAGAGAGTGAAAAATAATTAAGAAATAGACGCCAAGGAATAGCTTAAGCACCACATACAATCCATGCCACAAAGGTTACAAGTTAACTCCATTTTAAAGAAAACATACCATTAATCCAATGTTGTATAATATATGCTATACAGTACCCCAAATTGGCACCCACTCTCCATTCCAATTACGAAGGGTGGATATTGGCTGCCCTGCAGATGTCCTAAGGTTCCTACTACCAATGATCTCCACCGTTTGCCATATGGAATAGGAGAGGACACCCTTTGGAGTACCCTATAGTCTATTGGCTCATTGTAATGCTTTCCTCAATTTCTATAGAAGTACACACCTTTCGTCACTAACATAGATGGTTCTCTATATCTATAGCAACCCTAACACCTTATACAATATATTATCCGCCTTGTAAAGCATTGTCACTTATGTTTATAAAGGCCACACTTCATAATAATAACAACAATAATAATAATTAGGTGGAGGAAGCGGATTAACTTCTAGAAATGCTAATAACATTACAGAAATAAAAAGAAGCCATAAAACAATGCAGGAAAATCAATATGCAAATAAGTGATAAATGAGTATGCAAAGGTGTAGCAAGGTTAGGCACTGCTTGGGTTTCCGTGAGAATGGCGAGAACCATGTGCTACAACCATGGCCACGAGGGGTGGTGATCTTCGTATGGTTGTTGTGGGTAACTCCAGCCATGGTGAGGTTCTTCCCATGGATGGAAAACCCCCTGATCCTAATAGTTTTCCTAAGATATTTGGTGGTGATGATGCGAGGAGTCCAAAACTTTCGCACGGCTCTCGTGGTGCTGCTGGTTTCGAAGAAGCGACTACTTTTGTTGTTCACTTTGTTACTAGATCTGGTAAAGGACATATTCGTTCACATCTTAAGATTGGATCTGGTGGTTCTTCTATGGGTGGATCTACTATGATTGGATCTACCTTGGACAATAGAGGCTTTACCGTTGTCAACAATGATGCTTCTGGTGTGTTCCTTGATCATGGATCTGATGTTGTGCAAGCGTCTAGATCTCTTGGACCTGTGTCGAGAGATCAAGTTGCAGATGATTTCAATGTTCATGATGCTGATCATGACAATGTTGGGGTCAAGGATCATCGTGCTCGTGATGATCGAGTTGTTGTTCATGATCGTGATGTTCAAGGTGATGGTGGCGATCGAGTTGTTGTTGTTGATGTTCACGTTGATGGTGGTGATCGAGTTGCTGCGCAAGAGAGCACGATGGTGCTGCTTTAGATCATCATCGTGTTCTTTCTCTTGGCAATATTGTCGTCGGTTCTCACTGACTATGGAGTTGCCGAAGGCTGGTTTTCTTGGTCAAACAACCAAATCAATAGGAGATGCAAATGAGAATGATTGGATCATGCCCTGACAAACACACACTAGGTGCTTGCTTATCCAGAGTCTAAAGTGGAGCTTCTCCCCAAGAGGAATTTTGACCATTGTCCTTTGGTGGTAACCATGTCAAATCTGAGCCCAATTGGCCCAACGCCCTTTAAGTATTTCTCGACTTTAGCAGAAAGCACCAGATTTTATTGATGTAATTTTGGCTTCTTGGCAAGGTAGAGTGGGGGGCACGAGCACAGCCATGTTCCTCTTTGTCTCAAAGCTGAAAAGGTTAAGGGGGGAATCTGCGTGCATGAAATAAGAACGACTTTGGTCATGTGGGTGATACAATTTCAGCTTTTCTGCAGCAACTATCATATTTTCATGATAGTCTGAACCTTGATCCTTCTAATGAAAATCTGATGATGGAGGAGGGCTGTAGTAAGACATTACAGCAATTTTTGGGCCATGAAGAGAGTATGTAGAGGCAAAAATCGCGCCAAAATTGGTTAAAAGAAGGGGATTCCAACACAAAGTTCTTTCATTTGTCTACTGTGATAAGGAGAAGGAGTGACCATATTATTCTTCTTAAGGATCAAAATGGATCTTATCTGGTTACTGAAATGGATATTGATAATCATATGATTGGTTTCTTTGAGGATCTCTTGGCTTAGGAGAGCACCATTGATCTTCACTTAGCTGAACAATTCCAACCTTCTTCCTTGTTAAGTCATAGTCAGCAAGAGAAATTGATTGAGGATGTTACCATCGAGGAGACAAAAGATTGTATTTGAGGTATAAAGAGTGAGAGTGCCCCAAGCCCTGATGGCTTCTCAGTAGAGTTCTATAAGTACAGTTGGGAGGTGCTCAAGAAGGATCATTTTCTGGCTCTGAATGATCTCTTTAAGAAAGGTAAATTTCTTAAACAAATCAATTCTTTTATTCGTCTTATTCTTAAAGTGTTTTCTCTTAGTATTATGAAATAGTTTCATCCAGTTCTCACTAAAATGGTATTATTTCAGGTTCCCAAAACACCAAAGGAATACTCGGGAGCTTGATCCATACAAAGACTGTTTGGAGAGTACATCGAGAGGGTTGGACAGAGGAGTCCCATTCCTGTAGGACTAGACACTTTTTGTTAACGAACCATGGGCCGCAAGAACAAGCTATCTCCATCTCTTCTTTTAAATGGAATCGAAAAATAAGAAAACCTTCATCAATCTAAAAGATCTCATGGTCATACTTCAATCTTCACATCTTTTGCAGCATACCTTTCATGTATGTCCACTCAAGTCTGCGCCCCAAAAAATAACCCAATAAGCAATTATCCTATCTGTTCAAGCATGAATCCACCAGCTCTTTTGCAATTTGAACATAAAATCTACCATCAATGGTCTCAATAGGGGTAAGCTCGAGATCAGCAAAATAGTAGACTTTGTTCTGAACACCCCTTGCTCCAGATAATAAGTCCATAGCCTTGCTCGAACTCCAACAACTGCTGGGGGCAGCAACATTCATCTCCTTTAACATCGATCCTAATAACAAAAGGGTAAACTCCTCCTTGCCATGCCTCATTCAATATCATTAGAAGCAGAAATAGATCGAATACCTTGTTTGCTACCATCATGAACACCATTCAAATAACCAGCAACATTCTTACCAATAAAAAAAACACCATTAAAATAATCTCCATTAACAACACCACGAGCAACTCCATTCACAACCCCATGATAACCAGCAATATCATGATCATTAATAACCTTGTTAGATCCAACAACAATATTGGTAGGAGAAACAGCATGATGATTTATATCATCAGCATCATCGTGCTCATCTGCAGCAACTCGATCAACACGATCACTAATCGCCACTCAATCATCACGAGCATCAGCAAACTTACACGCATCAGAAACTTGATATCTTGGCACAGATCCAAGAGATCTAAAACCTTGTACATCCTCGGATCCATTGTGAGAACCGACAACAATATTGCCAAGAGAAAGAACACGATGATGTTATAAAGCAGCACCATCGTGCTCATCTACAGCAACTCGATCACCACCAGCAACGTGAACATCAACAACAACAACTCGATCACCACCAGCAACGTGAACATCAACAACAATAACTCGATCTCCCACAGCAACTTGATCACCACTGACAACTTGAACATCATGATCACAAACAACAACTCGATCATCACGAGCACGATGATCCTTGACCCTAATATCATCATGATCATCATCACGAACATTGAAATCATCTGCAACTTGATATCTCAGCACAAATCAAAGAGATCTAGACCCTTGCACAACATTAGATCCGTGATCAAGGAACACACTGGAAGCAGCATCGTTGACAGCAGTAAAGCCTCTATCATCCAAGGTAGATCCACCAGATCCAACCATAGTAGATCCACCGGATCCACCCATAGAAGAACCACCAGATCCAATCTTAAGATGTGAACCAATATGGCCTTTACTAGATCTAATATGAGAATCAGATCTAGTAACAAAGTTAACAGTAGTAATAGCCACTTCTTCGAAACCAGCAGCACCACAAGAGCCGTGCGAAGGTTTTGGACGCCTCACACCATCATTGCCAAACATCTTAGGAAAACTACTAGGATCAGGGGGGTTTCCATTCACGGGAAGAACCTCACGATGGCTGGAGTTACCCACAACAACCATACAAGGATCACCACCCCTCGCGGCCATGGTTGTAGTAAGCAGTTCTCACCATTCTCATGGAAACCCTAGCAGAGCCCAACCTTGCTACACTTTGCACACGCATATTGCACTTTGAGTGATTTATATTGTGCATGGTGCACACACGGTGTAATATGCATGTACAATCTTTAGGAAAGGGGCTAGGTTGTGGTGGTAGCATCCCCATACCTAGTTACTATGTTGTGGTTTCCAATCCTGCTGACACCACCAACTGACACCTTGAAAAACAAATCTAAATCCCTAATCTATCTGAAAAAACGGGTAGGGGGCTGTCAGTCTTCCCAACTAAATTTATCCTCATCATCATAGCCTTTTCCCAATTCATTGGGGTCGGCTACACAAATCTTGGTTCACCATTCTGCTCTATTAAAGGTCATACCCTTAGTGAGGCCATAAATCCTCATATCTTTCTGAACTACTTCCAACCACGTCCTTTTGAGCCTACCCCTTGCCCTTTTAAGTCCTTCCACTTGAACTAACTCGCACCTCCTAACAGGTGTTGTACTTGGTCCGTACCACACGTGGTTAGCCCACCTGAATCTACTCTCTTTCATCTTATTGCCTATCGACGCTACACTTAAATTCTCCTGAATTAATTCATTTCGATGTCTATCCCTTCTTGTCTTGCCAGTCATCCATCTCAATATCCTTATCTCCACTACACTCATTCTATGGGTATATTGTTTTTTGTCCGCCCAACATTCAGCCCTATAGAGCAAAGTGGTCTCATAGTTGTCTTATAGAACTTGCCCTTCAGCTTCACTGGTATGCGGTGATCACAAAAAGTTTCAGTTCAACATCTCCATTTCGCCCACCCAACTCTAATTTTGTGTGCAACATTTTCCTCAATCTCTCCATTTTTCTGGATTATCGACCTAAGATATTGAAAGTGCAATCCTTTTTACTTCATGGCCGTCAATCTTAACTACTTCCTCATCTCTACTATTACTATTACGTCTCTTATTATTACGTTTTCCCCCTTGAATTACCCAAAAAAAAAAAACTCTGAAGCTTCAATTTTCATATCCTAATTATAAAAAAAAACTTTAACCTCTTAAACACTTGTTAGCGTGCTGTAAAGTCACCAATTTAAATTTTATACACTTACTATCATGTTCTAAACATATCTCACGAACCCCTAAACACTTGATAGCATGACCTAAATGCATCTACTATAGGTGAATTATTCAAATTCTTGGGGTACAAAGTTCCGACAAAGAGAAGATGCAAGAAGAGGAAAACATTCTTAGGCTTTTTCCGACAGAGCAGAAAAAAGTATAATCCATCTATACATAATCAGAAGACCCCAAATTCTCCATGGTGTGCGGGAGATATCAATCACAAAAAAATAGAAGTACGAAAAAAAATCTGCAATTGATAACCCTAGGTATCAGTATCTAAAGTGTTAACCATGAATTATAAGCACCATTCTTTTGAGTAGCACAAGCAAAACTGAACAAAATGACAGGGAAAAAATACGTTGAGAAACATATTTGAAAGCCCTAGACAACATTTTCAAAGAGGTTCAGTCCATGAATAAAAATAAAAAAAATCCTCCACATTCATGAAATTTGTTTATCGGCTCCCATAGATCTCAAGAAGGCTCCGAATCATTAGCTTGTGATAAATAAAACAAACCAAGTGATAAATCAATCAAAAAAATAAAAATAAAAAAATACATACGTAAATTAGGGTTTCTTGCCAGAAACGCAGGTCTCATGGAGACCAGAAGTGATGAGAAGGTTTCTGGATTCATTAACGTAGTTCTGTAGTGAATAATGGTTTGAGCCATTTCCTTCACTTCCTGTTCCAGCACCAAAAGCTCCTTATCTTCTGAACTTCCCTGATCATCCGCCATTAATGCACAGAAACAACATCAAGGGGTTCGAAGGCCCATAAATTCAAGGCTCCCAGAGAAAATCTACGGTTTAGACTCAGAAAAACTGAATTTGCACTGCCCTCTTGATGGAAACAAAAAAAGGAAAAAGAGCAATGCAGTTTCAAGACTATGAATCAGATAAAACGATCAATAACAGGAAAAAACTAGGGTTTAGAGTTAAAAAAAAATGGTTTAGAATTCAAAAAGCTACGGTTTTCAGCTCAGGTATTACAATCGTGTGAAAACGGGTTTTATTATTTTTCACGGCCTTTGTATACTATAAGACAGTTTCTCTATGATCCACAACGTAACAATCATCTTTGACCGTCAGATCTGACATCGGGCGCCTTAGGAGTCGTAATATAGAAAAGTTGGTATTTCTGATCACGGCTAGTGGCACGAGCCGGACTGCCCGATTTCATGGTTAACGGCTTGATATAATAGTGACCTTCTTTCATGAAAGCTGAGCAATCCTACTGCTTGCTTTCCTGTTTTATGTATGTTATATATTGTTTTAAGTCAATATTCAATGGATGGTTCATCTAAAACAGGAAAGTATCAGTTGAAGACTTGAACCGTTCATATATAGCTTTCAATTCTTGTTTTGCCGTCTAAGTCATGCTACAATCTTTTATTTTATGATAGGTGGAGATGGTTATGTCCTCAGATTGCTTAGGTATGGCGATGGTTGATACTTCACAAGGTTTAGGTTTGTATTTGGCTGACTTCAATGAACAAGATTTTGACAGCCGATAATTTGATCAAAAGAGGCAATATTTTACCTAATGTATGCCTACCATATAAATCTGGTGCTGAGCCTGTTGCGCATCTTCTTATTCATTGTCCTTTCACGTTGCGTAGTTGGTATTGGCTGTTTGGAGTGCTAAATATAAATTTGGTTCTCCCTCAACATGTGGAGAGGATTGTTACTCAATTGTCTTTACCTCATTTGCGGAAGGTTGGTAAGATTGTTTGGAAGATAGCTAAACGAATCATATTGTGAGAAGTTTGGAGATGAAGGAGTTTTGAAGGGGTTTCTTTATCCCTGGATAGATTGATTCACTCTATTAAAGTTACAATATAGTCCTGACTATCTGTGCAAAAAGTGGGTTGGGGTACTTCGAAGGTTGATGTGATGGCTAATTTACATAACCTATTTCTTATGGGTATTGTAAGTAATAGACATAAATGCTTTTGGTTAGCGTCCCCTGTTGGTATATTGAAACTTAATTTTGATTACAGTTCTTTAGGCAATCCTGGGTTAGCAGGTTTTGGTGGAGTTTTACGTGGTTGTTCTGGTAACATCATTTTTTTCTATGTGGGCCATTTAGGTTGTAGAACTGCGAATTTTACTGAACTTAATGATTTGTTCTATGGCATAAAGATCATCATTTATAAAAAATGTAGCAACAATTATTTGATAGAAGGTGATTCGTTGAATGTGTGATAAAATGGTGCAACAAAGAGCAGCGTATTCCATGGGAACTTTGGCTTTTATGATTATAGAATATGGATATGTCTTCCTCTTTGATAGTTTCCTTCTTTCATGTTTACCGAAAAGCTAATTATGTGACGGATGATTTGGCGAAGGGTGGTGTTTGTTTACCTGCTCTTGTTGTTACTAATGATGTAATTTCCTTTCTTTAGTACTAATAAAAAATAGAAATATTTATCAAAAAAAAAAATTTATTGCATAAGTTTTCTCACTTTTGTTTTGATGTCTTTTCAACATCAATACAACCTTTTTCAAAGATTTTAAATGTACATTTTATGATGTCAAATTAAGGGTGACAATCAACCTGGACTTGGCACGACCCGACCCAACTCGGCCCGAAAGGTAGACTCAACCCAGGTCCTAGTAGGTTGGGTTCAAGTCTAAATCTTAGACCCAAACACTATTTGGGTTTGGATCAAGATCCAACCACGTCTAGGTCCGGGTCCCATATATATTTTTGGGTTCTAATTTATGAAAAATAGGTAAATATATTTAAAGGAAAAAGTGTATATAAGGTTGCAACCTTAAAGTGTAGAATTACAAATGTGCCTAAAAATCCATCAAAAAATGTTATTTTAATGTTGAAAAACCCTCTAATTGTTCATCTTGACATTGTGATGTATGAATATAAAAAAAAAAAGATTTCGAATCCCAGAAATAGTGTAATTGCAACACATTATCTAGACCGTTCATTTTCAAGATCTTCATATGTTTATAGATCTACTTGATTTTAACCATTTTTGAAGTTTTAAATTTTATAATTAGATATAAAAATATATTTTAAGATAATTCTAAAATAATTTTAAATACGTATATCTTTTAATTTTTGGGTTGGGTCCGGTTCCCACAATGTATTATCTGATCCGGCTCCAGCCCGTTGCCAACCCAAACCTTATATAATTTTTTTTCCTTTTAAAACAAGTAAATCTTTTCAAGAAACATATATACAGGTATTCTTAAGCGCTTCTTTTTGCAAATAGTATAAACAAAGTATTTTTAAGGCTTCAAATTTGGGAATATAATCTCTTTAAACTAACCTTTCTCCTCCTCCTACTAGGACGAAATATCCCATTGAAGCAGCTAATCTCATACATATCATATGTACGTTTCACGTTTTTTCTTCTCTCATATATACATAAATTACAGATGACCTCATATATATATATATATATATATATTAGGACGAAAGATCCCATTGGAGCGGCTAATCCCATCCATATTGTAT